ACTTCTGTTTTTCTGAAACAGAGCAATAGGCAAAAACCTGAGACAGCCATGCCCCCTCTAGCCTCAGAAAAGGGCCCAAAAAGTAACATCCACAAGAAAGATAAAAAGAAGCACAGCAAGAGCAGAAAGTACAGCTACTCCATCTATAGATGCAAATGCTGGAGCAGGTCCACCCCAACTGGCTCTCTTCCAAGATGTGGGCAACACAACCTCTTACATTAATCACATTTTCAAGTACAACACCACTGAGGCTTCTCACTTGGGCAAACAAGCTCTCAGCCATCACTTCCCAGGTGCTCCACATGGCCATTCTCGTGCTGCTGCTGCCTAAGGACTCGGCATAGCATGGCATACCACGCTGGAGGGCACCAGAGCCTCTATCAAGTGAGCATACCATGTAATTGCTCTTGACTGAGCTACACAGACCGGTTTCAGGACAAGCTGATGTTAAAATTAAAGCTGCTGTGGAAAAGCAGTTCTTTATACAATGTGTTACTCATGCTGTGCTGTTCTCTTGCTACAACTATGGCATTGCTCTGTCACAGCTCACTGTTAGCAGTGTTAGCCTGGTATTTTGCTCCCACCAAAGTCAATAATATTTTCACTGACCTCAGTGGCACAGAATCAAACTCTTCATGTAGAAGCAATGGGGTCAAAAAGCAAAAAATCCACCACCAAGCCACAGGATCAAATAACCTGTGTTCTCCTTCAGGCCTTTCCACCAATTAACTATGTGACTGGAAACAATGGGACTTACATCTTGGTATCTTGCCAAAACTTGTAAACAGAAATATGTGATGCAAGTAGATCTAATGGCTGAGGGGGCTAACTTCAGATAGCCAAGCATTAAAAGGAACCTAAAACAATTAGTAATCACCTTCTAGAGTAGTCATCATTCCAGTACCAAAATACACTAACACGTTTCATAAGATTTCAGGCTGTCAGAAGTCTTGAAGAGGTGGGCTGCTGCTTTGCAAGTCAAACAAGCATGAAAATGTAGGTCTTAAGGTATTAGTGTCTCAGCTTCTCCGCCTGCAGAGAAGAAATGGTAGTAGTTAGAATTGTTAAGCAATTTGCGATAAAAAATATTAAAGAATATAAATGAAAATCTCTCATATGTGTAAAAAAAAAAAAAAAAAAGCACTAAATACGATAAAAACAGCCGTCACAGCTTACAAGTGCCTAGTTTCATGTAATCTGTAGCGTGATAGTAGTGTTCTGGCAGATTTCAGGTTGCCAGACAGAGGAAAAGAGGGCTGAAGCTGTTTCAATAATCCAGGCTGACAGTAACACACCCTATGCTGTAACACGCCACTTGGATCTTGTGGCTGTGCATCACCACACTTCCACCTCCCCCAGATCAGCAGGCTGTATTGCTGCCCTCCACAACACGGCCTCAGTCAGGAACCAGGACTCCATCCTGCAAAATACTGTATGTACAAACAGCAGCAGCATAGAAACACAGAATAATTCAGGTTGGAAGGGGCCTCAGGAGGTCATCTAGTTCATGTTTCCAAAGAATATTTAAGCATGTTTTGTGGTTTGAGTTGTTTTTTTTAAGGAGACAATATTGCCAGGACGTAATTTTCCCACAAGGGAGCCATTTCTGATTACGCCAAGTGAAGGTTACAGACTTCAGCACAATTATACAGACTTACATCAGAGGAAGATCTGGCCAATCACACCACTTGCCAAAGTACTAATGTGTTTAACACAATGTTCCAGTGCAGCAAGTTCAAGGTAATTTATTTTTTTTTTTTTATCCAGAAGAAAAGCAAACACAAGGCCCACCAGCAGAGTGAATTTTGTCTCCCTTCTCCCTCTGGAGACCTACAACCGTAGGAGGCCGATGCCAAGTGCTGCTGCATGGCTTCCTGGCACAGGTCACCACAAACAAGCCGAAGGCAGCTGCCCTGGGAGTGAGGTTCAGTAAACAGGTTTTAACATGAATTCCATACAAAATACATTGACTTTTGACAGTGAAGGACAGGTTCCACCATTTTAGTGCAATTTTTTAAAATCAAAACTGTTATCAAATGCTCATTGGACGTTCAAAGGGAAAACTCGCTTGTAGAAAGCAGATGAGTACTCTTTTGACATGAGTACCCGCCCAGAATTCAATTAAAGAAATTAAGTAACCTGGTCTAGTGGAAGGCATCCCTGCCCACAGTATGGGGGTTGAAATATTTGATCTTGAAGGCCCCTCCCGACTCTAACCGTTCTATGATTCCGAGTGAAGAAGAACATGGCTCAGAATAGGGTAAAAGGGGCAATCTTAGGTTTTCTGTAACAGACAAACCCGGTCCTGCGCAGGACGCCTTGGCAGCAGCCCCAGGGGCCGAGGGCA